GCTGTTCTCCTCAGTAGTATTGACTCAGGTTTGAGAAGATGGCTTCTCTCTACCAGCCTCTTTTGCCCCCTTGTTTGGCCAGGGGGCTGTCATCGGGGGGGTGGGGGGATGTGACACGGGAGCAGGACTGAACCGGGCACCTCAGACACTAAATGCATGAGCCTCGATGGTGTGAGCTGGCAGCCATGTAGCCCTTGGCTAAGGCTGCGTGGCAGAAGAGCCTCTTTTCCCTGCGGCTCCCTCCTCTGCGGGGAAATGCTCCCGCGCTGGGGGTCTTCGGTGCTGCCCCCGACGAGGAACTGGCATTCACCCCAGCATGGTGGCGGTGACGCCGAATGCGCCTCTTGGCCCGGCTCAGCCCCACATCAAGCCTGGCCTCTCCCCTGGCTTCCAGGGCTCCCAGACATTGTGTCCCTGCCTCCCGGCCGAGGCGACGAGTCCTTAGTGGGACTGGGGCTCCGGGAAATGCCCCGTGTTACGTGGGTGGGTTTGTTGGCTGTTGTAGCCTCTCATCTCCCGGGGATTTCCCAGACCCCGGCCCCGGCCTGGCCAGGGGGGCACATTCCACTCTCCTGCTCTTCTTGGGGAGCATGCAGCGTCCATCCAGAGAGATGCTGATTCCATCCCCTCTGTCCCTGCGTTTATCTAGGGCCACCCCTGCTCTGCCGTTCCTGGGCATTCTGCACCCTGCTGTTACCTTCTCCCAGGGAGCACGGTCACTCCTCCACCTTCCCGGGATGCTCTGACACCCGGGTCCTGCGCTAGTCCCAGCCTCGGGGTCCCCCAGCTCCGTGTCTGGCCGTCTGGCTTTGGGCACAAGCCCTTAGACTGTTATCGCAGTCTCTGCGGGCCCCCCGGTGACGCTGGCCTCTGCTGGCGCAGGGAATCACAGAACCCTGGAACGGGAAGGGACCTCGAGAGTCAGCGAGTCCAGTCCCCAGCCCTCACGGCAGGGCCCAGCACCGTCTAGACCAGGCGTCTGTCCAACCTAATTTTAAATATCTCCAGTGATGGAGATTCCACAACTTCCCTAGGCACCTTGACAGGAAGGAAGTTTTTCCTAACATCCCACATAAACCTCCCTTGTTATTTAAGCCTGTTGCTTCTTGTCCTATCATCAGAGGCCAAAGAGAACCATTTTTCTCCCCTCTCCTTGTAACACCCCATTAGGTACAGGCAGTCCCCAAGTTACGCAGTCCTCCGGGGCGAGAAAAGCTGCTCCGCGTCTCCCTGGTCTGCTGGGCCCCCCCCCCACC